CCGGCTAGATCACAGGTTTTACATGAAAAAAATATATAAAGAAAAAAAGAAACAAAGAACAAAAACATAGGTAACCTATGTAAAGCTCTATATACTTAATTGCTGTTATTATTACTCTACTTCAATATAGGCCCTCAAATGTTTTCACTTTGTTTCAACAGATTGCTAACTTGTCTCCCTGACATGAGAGCCAATAAATTCATTTTATCAGCTGTTCTCAGAATTATTTCTTAAAAAGCTAAATCTGATCATCTCACTTCCCTTCCTAAAAGACTTTGATGTTTTTTTCTCTATGGATTGCCTTTTATGCCATACTAAAGGATTCACTTAAAATGGAATCAATTTAAAACAGGAATGACATCTGCTACCTTTCTCATTTATATCCTGCTATTCTCCTTAAAGAAGTATAGTCTTCATAAATACCAAACTTATTCTTTCATGGACATACCAGTCCCTTTGATGCCTTCAGGCCTCTTTCTGTTTCCTATTTTAGTACTTGCCCCATTTCATCTAGAAAACTCCTACTTGTCCTTCAAGACCCAGCTCTTTAAAAAGGTTTTTCCTAAGTCAAAATCGAACCCCCACCATGGTACTGAGTAATTCATTTATAGTATTTATCACACTGAATTTGCAATTACTGAATGGCAATTACTTCTCACAGGGAAAAGTCCATTTCTGAATAAAAATCAATCAAATCCAGTGTGTTGTGCAGAGTCTGGTACATTATAGGCACTCAATATATATTGTTGAATGAATAAATAACATGTATTGTTCTTACAGTTTACAAGATCTTTTCACATATTTATTTTTATCACATTATTATATATAAGCATAAGACTGGATACGAGGCTTATTATTATTACTACTATAAACTGAGACTTAGTAAACTTCTCCAACATTTTCCCCAGTTGCAAAATTTTAAAAGTATTTAAAATTGACCACCAATATTTTAAAAAATAAAGGCTAAAGTGAGCACATGGCTCATATTTTAAGAAAAGGTAATTATATGGATCATGACAATTACCTGGGGGTATTGGTAAATATGTTGCAGCTGATAATTGTACTCCACTTCAAGTTCAGATTAGAGTGTTCCTTTTAGTTTGCCATGGAAGCAGCTATTTAAAGAGTCAGGCTAAAACCTGGAATGAGAGGAACTCTCTGGAATTACAGTAGCATTCCAAAGTCTTTGCAGTTTCCATCCATTTCTTTTATGTGGCAGTAACAATTAATTCAACTTAAAAATGTAAAATGAGTAAGTTCTATTATTTTCCCTAATTCCTTGAAAACAACTGAACAAAATTTACAAGGAAAGATAGTTGATTTGAAACCTAGGGCAGTGTTTATCAAAATGTGACTCATTAGTGCATACAAAATCAATTGTATCGTCCCAGTAATTTTAAAAAATAGAATAGAATAGGAAATACTAGAATGTGCTGCATGATGTAAGGGTATGATTTTTTGTGAAATCTTTATTTCAATTTGTGTGTGTGTGTGTTTACTGGATCATGATATAAAATATATTTCCCACTGTGGTATATGTTCCTACTAAATTGGGTCAAAAAAATTTGAAAGCCCTTCCCTATAGGATAAACAATATTGCTCAAGGAGTGGGATCAATTCCAAGTAGCCATTTAATAAAATTGGTTTAATAACTTGATAACACTGTAATCATGTCTCCATTTGAACCCAACCCCCCAATTATATCATCATAACCCCAAAAACATAATCAACATCTGATTCATTCACCAGAGTTGGCTTCAAATAACATTTAATTATTCCCCTAAATGAAACTCATTTCTAAGAGATGTGCATTCGCTGCTACCACAGAAACTATGCAGAAGAATTTGCCATAGATTCTAAAGTCAATACCTAAAAAGAAGTTTGGAAGTGTTTTGAACAAAAGCAACATCACTAAAGTTAGATTCAGATCACTATTTTTCAGGGCTGCTCCTGAAGTTTCTGTTTGAATATTATCACATTTAATAATAATTATTGTATAATTTTCTCCCAATAAGACTGAGCCCCTATTGTACAGGAACCTTATTTTACTATTTCTGTATTCTTAGTGCCTTTACTATATGGTCTAGCACATAATAGACATTTAATAAATGTTTGTCAAGGAGATAGAACTCTTTGGATAGATACATGTTCTAAAATGTACTGAGTTGTAACATATGTTAAGGCTATTCATGCTTCTTGCCCACTTTAAAGGATGAAGTTTTCAGTCTCTCAACTCTATAAAATAGGGCTTTAATGGGGCTTAAAATGCATAATTTTTAAATCAAAGGAATAAAATTTGAAATAAAAATGAGATATTCTTTGATATCAGAGTATCATGGGTATAAGCAGAGAAATAAGCATTCTCATACAATGCTTGTGATAGGGAAAAATGAAGTAGTTTTGAAATATCAAAAATATTTAAATGTGTTTACTGTTTGATACAGAGGTTTTGCTTCTAGTTCTTTATGGAAAAGTAAAGGTCTTTAAATATGGACACAAGGTTATTACACTCAGTGCTGTTTACAATAGATGAAAATGTCTAATACTAGAAGATTCATGAAGTAAATTAAGGTAATTCTCACAGTGGAATAATATGTAGCCACAAAAACAGTGACATTCAAATATATTGGTATAAAAAGGGGCTCCGAAGATTTAATGTAAAAATCAGGAAACAGCAGTAAACTGCAGAATATAATTTAAAAAAAATTTTATGAGGTGAAATTCACATACTAAAATTAATCACCAGAAAGTGAACAATTCAGTGACTACTTAGTATGTTCACAATATCGGGCAAATGCCATCTCTGTCTAGCTCCAAAACTGGATTTCTATCACTCTAAAAGGAAATGTGTACCTGTTGTTAAGCAGTTGCTTCCCATTACCCACTTCAGCCCCTGAAATTCACTTGTCTGTGTTCTACTCTATGGATCTGCCTATTTTAATACTTCATGTGAATGGGAATAATGCAATATGTGACCTTTTGTTGGTGCCTTCTTTCACTTAATGTTTTGGAGGTCCACATACCTTATAGTGGTACTTGGTTCCTTTATATGCGAGTATTTTATTGCGTGTATATAACACAATTTGTTATCTGTGCATCAGTAGTAAATGAACCTGGGTTGCTTCCACCTTTTGGTTACCAGAAACAGTTCTGCTATAAACATGGGTGCACTGCAGATTGTCATTTTAATTATGCAAGTATTAGCAGAGTGGGGTTCAGGAATATTATCACTCATTATTTTTGGGTGGAGGAATCACAAGCCCACTTAGCACATTGGGCTTTAGAATTAATTAGACCAGATCCTTTTTTGTTGTTTTTCTCCCCGAGAGAGAGCATCTCACTTTGTTGCCAGAGCTAGATGATTCCTGTGGCGTCAGCCTAGCTCACAGCAACCTCAAACTCCTGGGCTCAAGCAATTCTCCTGCCTCAGCCTCCCGAGTAGCTGGAAGTACAGGCGTGCACCACCACGCCCGGCTAATTTTTTCTATTTTTAGCAAAAATGGATCTCTGGCTCTTGCTCAAGCTGGTCTGAAACTTCTGACCTCAAGCGACCGCCTCAGCCTCCCAGAGTGCTAGGATTACTAGCGTGAGCCACCACACCTGGCCAGATCCCATTTCTTTATGTGTAAAGTGAGGAAAATAAAACCTACTTAATTGGATTGTTGTGAAGAGCAAGTCAATACTTATATGTAAAGTATTTAGAAATGCGAGTTGGGGGCTACATGGTAAGTACTAAATTCATACTGTTTTTGAAAAAAATATTTTTGTTTTTATTTTTTGGTTATTTTTCCCTAAGAGATTACATATTGTTTAAAAGGCTCCCCCCCCCATTGTATTTGCATGATACACACTTAAGATGCATGTTTCCCTTTGCTGACGGTCATTTGGGCTGCTGCCAGTCAAAGGCTGCTGGATTTGATCTGATGGCATCACTTTGACTATGTATAGTTCTAACTCTCCAAGTTTCGATTAAAATAATGTTCTCAAGTAGCGTGCTCTCCAACCCTCTGCCACAGCTCCTTCTCCATCCTAGTCTTTGTTTCAACATCGCTTTACATGTTGCAGACATAATATCCAGGTTTTACATCTTAGGAATGCTATGGCAGGAACAGAGGGACGGGTGAAGGGCACAGGCTCTCTCGTGCACACCTAGGAAAATACATCACGACCGGGTTTTACCAAATATGTAAAGTTTTCTCCAGAATATCCCTCTTTTTTACTCCCTAGAAAATCTCAAATTTTATATCTCATTGTAAACTCAAACTTTGCCGAATATGCGCATCTTGCACACGGCGGAAGGGCTCCCGTCCCGAGCCCGCCGGGCAGCGGGGCGGCGCCCTCCCGCCCCCGTCGGGTCCGGGAAGCCTGAATCCGCGCCCGCAGCCCCCGAGCGCCCCCCCGCCCCAGCGCGGGAGTTCCGAGGGGAGCCCCGGGAGAGCCGCGGCGTCACGTGGGGGTCCCGCGGGGACAGGCGCCGGGGGTTCGAGGCCCCGCGGGGAGCCGTCGCATCCCTGGAGCCCGGCCCCGGGCGCGCGCCGAGGCCACGCAGAGGGGAGCCCGCCGGCCCGCGCGCGCCCGCACAGGTGTCCGCGAGGGGCGCCCAGGCCCGCCGGCCGGCCCGGAGAGGCGGGGCGGGGGCGCCGCCCATGCGCCGGGGCCGGGGGCCCGGGGGAGGTTCCCGCGAGGTGGTTCTCGGGCTCCTCCTCGGCGCCTCAGGTTTCCTCTCCCCGCCCGCCCGCCGGCCGCGGCGCCGCCTCCCTCCCTCGCTCCCGCCCTCCCTCCTCGCGGCCGGGCCCACTCCGCGGCCTCTGCCCGCCTCGCCCCCGCCCGGGCCTCCTCCCGCTCTCCTCTCCGCTTCCCCTCGAGCCTCCGAGGAGCCCGCGGCCGCGGGGCGCCCGGGAAGATGGCGGCGGCGGGAGGCGGCGGCGGCGAGGGGGGCGCGGGCCTGGGCGGCGCGGCGGGGCCGGGGCTGGGGTCCGGGCCGCGCGCACCCCGCGCCTCCGCCGAGGCGCACGAGGGCAGCCCGGACCCCGCGCCCGCCGCGCTGCACCCTGAGGAGGTCGCCGCGCGGCTGCAGCGGATGCGGCGCGAGCTGAGCAACCGCAGGAAAATCCTGGTGAAAAACCTGCCCCAGGACAGCAACTGCCAGGTGCGGGGACGGTGCTGCGGGGCGACGGGGCAGGCTCCGGAGAAAAGCTGCCCCCGAGGTGCCCAGCGTGGGACCGGGCGCCGTACAGCGGGTGCGGGGAGGAGGAGGAAGTGGTCGGCGCGGAGTGATGAGAACGGCCCCTCGCTCTTAGGGAGCCTCTCGGGTTTCCAGCCCGCCGACCTACCCTGCGAGGGAGGGGGCAGATTAGGAAACTGAGGCTCGGAGGGGCCAAGCGGCTCGTCCAAGGTCACGGGAATCAGGGGTGGCAGCCTCCAAGTTCAGCCCGCTCTTTCCTTCCCTGCGGCCCGGAGGGGGGTAGCAGCTGAAGTGGAGAGGAGGTGAGCTGTGGGGAGCGCATTTGGGCAGGGGGCGAGTCTTCGGGAGTGCCTTGACAAGTTAGAAGGGTCCCCCCAGGGTCCTCGGGACTTGGGAGCGCTATGAGGGGCGGGGTCACGGGCGAGCTGGGAGTGAGTTTTGCTGTTGCAGAAGCACTTGGCCAAGTTTCTATGAAACAACTGTCTCCTCAGTTTGCTAAGGCCCCAGAATAGAGAGGTTATTACTGCGCTTTGGGCGCCTCGCAGCCGTCTTCTGCCATGCCAAGTACAGTACTGGAGGATTTGCTCCTCAGTGAGGATGAGGCTTAAAGATAGGCTACTGTCTTTAATACAGATTAACTGTTGCTTTTAAGATCAGAAACTCCGAATCTATTTAACTTTTTTTGTCCTGGTTGCAAAAGTTGCATGCTCATTGTAGGAAAACTAGAAATAACAGAGAAGTGCAAAGGGAAAAAATAGAAATCACCCATATTTTTGATTCCTACCCAGAGATAACCATTGTTAGCCTGGGATTTTAAACATTTTCTTATGGTTATGTATACATATGCATTTTTGTTTTATCAAAAACATGAGATCATTTTTTATCTTTCAGGGTTTCTTAATTGTCTGGATGTTCACATATATTTTACGTAATTTGGATTTCTCTACTGTTTTGAGTGTGGTGGGCTGTCCTTGTAGTTGCAGATTTTCAAAGACTCATTTAATTCCTCCTGTAACCGAATGTATGGAATTGCAAGAGAGCTGGCTATTGACAATTGCATGGCAGTTCTCCATGTGACCCATAAAATAATGAGACCAATGCCCCATGACTATGTAATTAGACCTTACCTAGTCACTCATAATAAATGTGAATGTGTAACCTTATAACCCATATGCATGAGGGGCCATTTTGTTTCAAAGTGCAACATAAAAAAAATTCTATGTCCATATTGTATATCTCATCCCTCTTGCAACTCTTTCCATTCCACAGTTGCCCACTTCCCATCTGTTGAGGTAATGCTTTGTGATGCTACCTATACAGACACCTGCAATGGACTGATTTCTTGGAAGCAACTTCCCCTGCCCATGCAAATTGAGGATTACCAGGGAGCTTAGGAAGGCGGAGGCTAGGAAGAAGCAGATGGCATTTTAAAAAAATACAAATTAAAGAAATAGCAGTTCTGTGTGTAGATAATCTAGAAGAAGAGACACAGAGAAGTGTCTTGATTTCCTTTGTAGAACATCAACTATTTTTGTTATCACATTTCCTTGCATTAATTCTAAAAAATTTAGATGCAAAATTCAAGACAGTTCTGTCTATTCTAACTTTGCTGTTGGCATCTTTCTCATTTCCCTTTTCAAAAGACATGAAAAGTATATCAAAGGTTCTTATAAAAGGAACAGTTTTAATTAGGTCTGATATTAATGATGGAGAGAAGCTTTTTGGGAATTACACTGGGATTTGTGATTTTGAGATATTTTTTCTGTTATGGATTTATGTTTAGCCTAAATCTTAGGATTTTATGTAAGGGGTAAACATAAACTAATGAGTAAAATTGGTATAAAATCTATATGTCTAGATGAGTCTTTTACTGCCAAGTGAAGTATTTAAATTTTTATGCCATGTTTTTTGAGAGCTGAAGGGTTTCATCTAAAAACTTAAGAACCAAACTTGTTTCTAGACTTGTCCTAGCATTTATCTTTTCTATAATAATTTCTATGATAAAATGTTTTTAGTGTTTCTGATGTATAGTTGAAAAATCTGAACAGTGTTTGATTACATATACTGTTTGCTTTTCTCCTTATTTCTGTCATCTTTAGTACTTGTACTACCTTTGCTAGTTTTTTGATTGCAGTTATAACTCCTAGTGGTCTGTATTACATAGACCAAATGTAATACATTTGTAATACATAGACCAAAGTCTGCTAACTTCTAAAAACAGTTAAAAGACAGTATTTCCTATAGATTATTTAGATCGAGAATTCCTATTTTTATTGGTCCAATAAATTAACATTTACTTTGTCTACTTTTTCTCAAGTTATAATATTTTCATGAATATGTTCTGCATGACCTTTTGTGTATTTTGTTTTTTATTAATTTCCCTTAACAGTTGTAATGTCTAGGGATTTTTTAGTGACTTTATTTTACTATTAACTTACTAATGAAGATTTAACTTTACTTTTATTTTGTATCTTTTAGCCAGGAAGGCCTACCTTAAATTACCTGGGCCAAAACTACATATTTACCCTTATGAAATGATTAATATGGTTTTTGTTCAATTACTAAGTAATCAGATATTTGAATTACTTAAATTCATGTTCTTTTCCAGAAGAGAGTCTGTGTTTATTCATTTATTTATTTTATAATATCAAATTAAGAATCAAAGACATTCATAACTATAGTTCTCAGACTGTAGTATGTCTTTAGAAAAGCTACTGATTGGTAACTGACTAGTAGAAACCCAATAATTTTTTTGTTAACAATTTGAATATATGGGTACTTTATTAAATATAGTTTTCAGAAATTGGCTCAAATTTTGTTTTATTTTTGCTATAACAGATTTATGATAGTATCCCACAACTTTACAATTTTTATAATTAAAAGGCACATTGAAAGTATTACTTTAAGTGGGAGCTCTCAGAGGTACATGGATCAAATACTTTACAGAAATACTAGTTCCAAAAAACCATGAACACCTTTATATTAAAAAGTTCTCAACAGCTTTCTCATTGAATAATTACTGTGCATTCAGTCAGGCCCTGTCTGGTCTGCCTAAGCTTTCTCGAATCTTCCTGGCCCGCTTTGTTTTCACAGCCTTAGCTCTCGCTCCGGTCCTTTTCATCTCTTGCACAGGGACCTACCTTCAGTACTATCCTGCCTCTTAACATTTTAGCCTGTCCTGCATACTGCTTCACTTGAGAGATCCTCCCCAAGCACATGTCTCTGATCATGTCACTCTCCTGTTCAAAAAAAAAAAACAACAACAACAAAAAACCTTTGGCCCAATATTCCCAGCACCACTTCTCTTAACTTTTTCTCAGATTGTCCTCAACATTAAGGAACGGTGAATATGGATTAGACAACTGCACAAGTGAAATAGCTTTGAAGTTTTGTGTTCTGTCTGAAAGATTCATATGAATTTTATGTTCCATTAGTAACACTGGATTTAATATAAAAACAGTGCTTTGACTTATTTAACTCCTCTCCAGATTTTTTTTCATAAACTTGGCATTTATGGAAGATGTACCATATTTAACCTGTGACTTTCCATGTTTCTATATTACCATGGAATACTCAGATCTCAGTTTGGAAAGCGTGACATGGTAGGATAGCAATCTAAGATTCTTAGGCTTTTTGTGACTTGGGCCCTGCCTACATTTCCAGTCTCATTTCTTATTAGTCCTTCATTGGATTCTACTCCAGCTTTATGAAGCTACTGAGAGCTCCAAGTACTTCATGCCACTGTGATTTGAATTTTTATAGTTACATCTTTGACTATTACTAATAGTGTTTTAGAATGTAATTATTTATAGTGAGTAATTTATAGTGAATAATATTTATTATGATTATTTGTTATGAATAATTTATGGTGAAAAATAAGGTTGTGAACATTGGTTCTTATTCAGAATAGCCATTGTGTCTATGTGTCTGTGTGTGTACAGTCTTTGGCAACTCTGAATTTAGAATTTGATTAGTTAAGGTAATGTCCTAATATATTAATATGTTATTGCATTTCTATAGTTTGTATTTTATGGTTAACTTGGTTCTATTTCAATAGCATTGTCATTGGGGTTTCAAAATGGAGAAAACATGGGCATTACTTCCTATATTGTCTGTGTTTACTCGGTTTTTTTCTTACATGTCATGTGTGTACTTGTGTTTTGTTTTTATTGTGTTGTTTACTTTAAAATCTGAAAGAGAGTCTGTTGTGTAATTAGAAGAAAATATGAAGTGCTTAGGGCCAACATCCAGGATCAGTAATAGAAGAAACAAAACATTCTATTCTCTTACTTTGCATATTATAAACTTTCATTTCAAAGTACCCTAATATGATAGTTAATTGAGAAACTTGATTGTTAATTCACAGTAGCCTGATTGAAAGCATAGTATCATCAACTAAGCACTTTTTAGAATCACATCCCCCAAAGTGCAGGAAACTCTGATCTTGTTTTGTTTTTTTTTTTTTTTTGAGACAGAGTCTTGCTTTCTTGCCCAGGCTAGAGTGAGTGCCGTGGCGTCAGCCTCGCTCACAGCAACCTCAGACTCCTGGGCTCAAGCAATCCTCCTGCCTCAGCCTCCCGAGTAGCTGGGACTACAGGCACGAGCCACCATGCCCGGCTGATTTTATATTATATATATTAGTTGGCCAATTAATTTCTTTCTATTTTTATGGTAGAGACGGGGTCTTGCTCAGGCTGGTTTTGAACTCCTGACCTTGAGCAATCCGCCCGCCTCGGCCTCCCAGAGTGCTAGGATTACAGGCGTGAGCCACTGCGCCCGGCCTGATCTTGTTTTTAAAAGCTACTTGTTTCTATTTTTCTTTTACATTAATATAAACACAATAGAATTTTTCACCTACTTTGTGTCCTTTAACTGTAGGAATTTAAAATTTACTTGTTTTCTCAAACTATATTCAGTAATTATTGCTTTTTTTTTTTTTTTTTAAGACAGGGCCATACTCTGTT